CCACCAATTTCGTCCAATCGGAGATTGGGATCTCCTCTGACCAATAGAAACTTCGGGTGAAAATTAGTAAATGCACATTTTGCGCAGTAACTTACTGGATTTGATTCTGCAAATGCATGTGACACTTGATGCATTATTTACAGACATAAATATTTGTTCCTAACAGCAAATATTTGTCCTGTCCCTTGCAGTTGCATTTATTATTTTTGCGTAGTCAAACAAAAATACGCCGAACTCGAGTTGGCGCTTAAAAATGAATTTAAAAGAATGCGCAATGTGACTGAGTTTCTCAAGGTAAAATGGTGTTATCTTCTTTTCAACATACGAAGTCTCGACACATTGACGCATATGGCTAAATCCAAAGTATAGGGATACGCAACATATCGGCTTTGGGGCCACGTATTTCCTTTCATGCAACCTCGCGATGGTTCTTTTAGAACCGCTCCCAAAAGGAAACATCACTTATCTTGTATTAGTTTTTAGCTGACTACTTCGATGAACAAGATATTTGTGATTTATTGTTTTATTATAATTCATTTGAAAAGTTTTATTCGCTTGGATGATAGATACAAATTGACTCGAAAAAAAGTAATACAAAGAAATGGGTTTGGACCTTACTATGCAAAAAGTTAATGTTATTCTTTAACCATCAATATCGAAACCATAACACATGGTAAGATCATCAGTAGCGAAATCATGTTGGATAGTATCATGTTGCATAGTATTATCATGTTGCTTGGTAAAAGGAATATATCTACTGCTATATATGGCCTTGGGATTATCTGTGGGGATTACCCCGTTATTAGTTTTTATCATTTCATCAGCTTTTATAAATTGTTGGTAAATATCAGATTCCACTTTCCGCTCTTTGACACAATTATACCATTTAAGACAAGTGTCGTAAAGTTCTGTCGCTGTAGGTCGCCTTGCTGGCTCTTTATCCCAACATCTTTGCATCAGTTCAACGTAACATGGAGGCGTTCCCGTGACGATTTGTGGACGAGTACCTTCACAGATTTGAAGTATAAGACTATGGTCATGTGATTTACCGCAGAATGCTGGTCTACCAGAGGAAATTTCCCACATAATGGTTCCGTAACTGTAGACATCTGCAGGTTTGCGATAGGGTTTTCCCTGAAAAAGCTCTGGAGCCATGTAAGGGACCACTCCAAATACGCCACCTTCTGGGACATAGTCTTTATCCTCATGTGACAACCCAAAGTCAGACACACTAGGGGTTGTCGAAACTTGCAGCACATTTCCACTATGGAAGTCACCGTGGACGAAATCGCTGTCATGGATAATTTTCAGGTCATCGGCAATCTTAGTTGCAAAAGATAGTTTATCTTCCCATTTTAAAGTTTTATGGTTTTGTCGCAAGAAATTACGAAAGTCACCGTGTTGCGCAAAGTCTAAGACGGTTATGAATTCCATTGTTACCGGGTGCCGGCTAACACCATAGCACTGGAGGAATCCGTTTCCTTGCTGCATCATGCATTTATGGTGGACTTTAATCTGGAAATGGATTCTTATTAAATAACAATAGAGGTACAATAACTGATAATGGTATATAACTGACCTCATTAAGGAATGTTGCAGCTATGTCAGGAGTGTTGTGGAAGAATTTCAAAGCAATTGGATAGTCTTTCCAACTCTCTCTGAAATATTTTTTGTCTTTATTATTCCATTCAAAGTGGCCTTTCAGACAATTAGTCCTAATGGCTGAATAAGCAGTGGCGAATCCACCTTTTCCAATTTCTTTGATATCTTTGAAATTCTCAAATGGAATCCATTCGATATAGTCAAAGGAACGTCGTGCATCGATAATCGTCTTTTTTATAAAGTCATCTAAGTCTTTATCGCCACTCGTCCGCCCTTGATGTTCTTCAAGCAGCAGTTTCGCGTGACATGGCGGACACCAATTGCTAGATGTCTTTGGTCTATCACAGGCGGGACAGAGACCATAGTCATTTTTCGAGGACGTTGTGGCGGACACTTTAACAGTGGCGTCGGCAATCATCTGATATGAAATTAAAGAATAACCAACAGAGAATACCCTGCTAGTCCGCACAAAGGTTGCAGAGCATGTACCTCAATTTCTATGACCATAAATATAAATCAAAAGACAGCAATTAATTCTACACACCGTTCAGCGTCTCAGTTTCGGAAAAGTACAGATGTTTTATATTGTTGCTTTCTTTTGCTAGTATATATATATATCTCCTTCGCTTTTATAAAGAAGAAAAGTTCTCAAGAGTGAAAGCGCAAATAGAATCATCTTTTTATAAAAATTTGCCTTAACAACGGGACAGTGACATTGTCTGAACAACGGAACATTGACACTATCTGAACAACGGAACATTGGCATTGTCTGAACATTAGCATTGTCTGTCCCACTCTTTTGCATTATGTCGTGATACATAATCAATTTGAAACAACGGAGTTGCTAGCAACAATACTAAAAGATTGAAATTTCTGGCGTTACATTGTATCACCTTTGAGCATATTGTCATTGTTTGCTAGTTTTCTTTCTCCTATATTCTTAGAATATGGGTTTGCAACGTCCGTACAAACGTGTTATAGTTCTTGCTTTAGATGGTGAGCATAAAGGAATAATTTACAATTAATACACAGCGGTACTAAAAGATAATATGATTCATAACTAGGTGTCGGTAGATTCTTTGTAGAGACTCCAACACCCACATTTGATGCTTTTTTTGCTTCGGGTGCCAGCTCGTTGACGGCAAAGGCAGTTGTGCCGACGGACAGTGCACAAAATTGGGGTTCAGTACTACACGGTGTTCTCCCAGACAAGCATGGATTAAAAAATGGTGATGTAGAGGCGGGCGTGCCATACGATGAGAATAGTAAATATCCAAGTATCTACAAACTACTTGCCGACAGCTCCAAAGATATTAAGATGGCATCGTATGCAGCGTGGCAAGCAATTAACACTGGCATCATCGAACTATCGGTCAAAGTCGACTTTTACGCACCTCTTACCCATGAAAATATTTTCTGGCGATGGTGGCTGCTTTTTAAACATAATTGGCTTAAAAATTCTGTCTACGACTATACCGTTGTCTCACGGTTGATTGATTATATTCGCAATCCTGAAAACGATAATGTGAAATTGTTGCTTGTCCATCTGACTGATGTGGACGAACACGGCCACGGTCACGGCTTTGGTTCACAACCATATCTGAATCAAATCAAGATTATGGACTCGCAGGTCGCAAAAATTCTTGAAGCAATTGACGAAGCTGGATGGAGAGATGACTCTCTTGTGATAATGACAACTGACCATGGTGGCATTGGGCGAAGCCACGGTGGAGATAGCGACCAGGAAGTCAATGTATTTTTTGCTGTCCGTGGTGCAGGGATTGAACCAGGCTCGAAGATTGAGAGTGAAGTGACCAACATGGACAGCGCAGCGCTAATTCTCGAGGCATTGGGAAAGAAAATACCTGAATGGTTTGATGCTAAATTACCCACTGAATTTTCTTCGTAATCCAACAAACCCAAGTTTCATATACAATACTGTATACGAATTCATGTTACTATATAGGCATGTTGATAGTGTGTCATGTTCATATTATAGGGATTTACACACCTATAACGATAATAATAAAACAAATTGATTTACACACCCATAAATGGAAGTTCTAACACACACAATATACCCACAAATGGAAGTAACAGGTACATGTCTATGATTGATTGCTATATATGGGTACTGTTTGTTTTTGTTGGCTTAAATTGATGATCGATTTCTATATATTGGTTATGTTTGTCTATATTTGGAAATTGATCCTTAATGTAAACGAAGATTGGTTTTTAGAGTCGGGGTCGACCCTATAGTAAACCTATATTACGTAATATATATTGCGATCCTTATGATAAATTCATTCACAATCAAAAGAAGAAGTTCATGGAATTTCCATTTATTCTAATTGTGGAAAACAGTAGCTTTAGATGACATCATGCCAAGTATACTAATTTCTTAGTAATTATAAGATTGATCAATTAATTATTATATATAAGATATACAATTCAAAATTGGTAAGTGCTAAAACCTGGTGAACATGTGATTTAATTTCTCTAAATTTTCCATATTATTGCAATCAGAATATTCTATAATATAGTTATTTTATTAATAATTAATTACTTTTATTATATTTAATATTTTTAATAATTTAATTATTTATTATTTTTCTATATTTCTTATATTTTTATCCAATAGCAATAATTCATATTTTTATTCAATTATTATTACATCATTTTAGTTTAGATTTCATCATCATTTAATTTACCAATTAATTCATACTATTATCATATCATTTTATATTTTAAATCTTACTGATATTTTATTTTAATCTCTTATTACATTAATTAGCAATATATAGATTTTACACAAATCCCTTTCTAATATTATACAATAATTATCATGTTCCAACATGTTGTAGATCTTTATTTTTATTAATTTTACTTTGTAATTTATATATATAAATAACATATAGATTAGCATAATTCAAATTCGTTATATATGTAACATGAGAATTGACTTGAAATAAACTAAGAAGATTATATTCTGATTTTAATTTTTGTCTTGTCTTTTTCATTTTTTTTGTTTGTTTCTTTTGTTCACTTTATTTTTATTTTATCTTTGTTTTACTTTTGTTATTTTCACTTGTCATTATATTGCCTTTTATCTTATTAATATACTTGATTTATAATGTACATTTAGTTTTAATATTGTCTTATTATTATTCAAATATACTTAAATATTTATCTTATACTCGTATTTTTGTTAGTTCATTATTGTTAATCATCCACTTTTGTCAATTATAACTTTCTTATTTAAAATCTGCTGTGAATATAGTCATTATTAATCATTTCTAAATATTCTCATATGTAAAAACTAGTAATGATAGCAGATTTTTGATGTTCTCTCTGTGGATGACTTTTTGAAAAAGAAATTCATATTATCATAATCAAATTGGATAAACAAATCATTCAAGTCAAAGTCACTCATCAGTACAATCTTCTTAAAAGCACATTAGTACCAAAAGAAATATCTCCAAAAGAAGAAGATAAACTATATTAACTTGTCAGAACTTTATATATTAAAATCACAAACAATCAAAATAATAAATTTATCAAAAAATAACTCTATAACTGGTTACTCACATGCACTAAATCACTAAAAAATCAAGTATTTCACTATTTGAAAAACTTATTAACTGATGCTGCTGCATTTGTACAAAAAAAGTGTGAATATTTACAACAAATAATAGCACACAAGCAAAAATTAAGAACAAACTTACCTGTACCATTATTATCTAAAGTAATAACTTATTCACTAATACTATATCAATTAACAGTTTGACAATCTTTCACACCAGAAGTAAGAAATTATTTTACTGATTGGCTAACAAGAGCCAAAAAAATATCATTATCAATCAAGAAAATAACTTTTAGCATCATCAAATCTATTTATTATCCACTCTAGTGCATTCATCACTTAATTCAAATTTTAACAATAATAACGAAGATGAGGTAATACTTGTTCAAAATAATTTATTATCAGAAGATAAATTAGAAAATTCAGCAAACACAATGAATCAACAATAACTTCAACAACAATAGCAGCTTCAATAATAGCAACAGCAATAGCAACAACAACAGTAACTTCAATAATAATAATAGCAACAGTAATAATAATAACAATAACAGCAACAACAACAACAATAGCAATAATTATTACAATAACAACCAGATCCACAAGCTCAATTAGTTACAGATTTGCAACAATTGACACTCACATTAGCAGCATCACCACAACCAGTAGCTCCAGAATTAACTCTTGTACTGCTTTCAACATTTAATGATAATAAATATGTAGCAAATACTAATAATATTTCTAATGTCTGTAAATAACAAATCATTTCAGTATATTTACGTGGAATTGCAGCAAATTAATTTTAATGACAATAACAATTGAATAAATAATGATCATATAATTGGAATCAAAACAATAATAACTCATTTGTTTAACCATTTTTGACTTAATTTTATACAAATACTCAAATACTCTCTTGGCAACAACAATTGACTATTCAAATTCAAGGTATAAATGAGTCAGTTATATAATATTAGATTACTTCTATCAAAAATAGATATGAATAACAATTATTCAGAATATTATAAAATTTGAAAATTCATCAAAGATTTTAATACTCAAATCGCATTTTTTGTTAACAAAAAAAATTCAGCTACTTGAACCAAGAAATCAATCATGCTATTCAAACTGAAACTGGTTACTGTTAAATATATAATAATTCTTTCACTACTGCAGTTGTCAATAATTAAATATCACAAAATTTTAATTTACTAATTAATAAGTATAATAATTATCAATTTGTATTAACAATACCAATCTCAAATTCATCATCAATAGTTAAAAATAATTAAAACAATGATATTAGCACAATTCTACAAGAATTATCTAAACAAGTTAAAATCTCAGCAATAATCATAATAATAATAACTATTATAATAACAATAATAATTATCAAAATGAAAACTCTTTTGCACCTCTCCCCTGTAGATCCTTGATCCACAGGCGGAGCAAAATTACAAGTTACCAAAACTCTCCAAGCCCATTATTAAGAGTCTTATCCAAGCCTTT